AGCGGCTTTGTCTGTTCATGTTACATACTCTTGAGTAATAGTATCCGACAGGGTCACCTAACAGTATCATTTACCATCATTATATGTATCACTTGGCATGACTTCAGTTGTTGCAAGAGTGAGTCATGACCACAAAATGGCTATTGTGAAAGTACATAAAACATATAGTATTATAACACTCAGGCAAGGAGAGGATTCAAGCCAAGATGAGAAAGGAGCTTCCTCGATCTTGGCTGCTCAGCTGGATGAGGAGCTGGGAGGAGGAGCAGTGCAGGTAGAATACAGATTCATCATCTGTCTTATTGACATACTGTTTCACCACTATATTGTAGCTAAAATCAGGGGCAGCACAAGGTAAGCTTTAGTGGAGGGCCCTAAATAAACGTACATTACTAGTTTAATTAAAACAACCCATTTAGGCACATTTACCCCTTTATTCTTCATTACATAAAGGGCCCGTATCATGTTTTGCTTCTAATTTTTTTTTATTTTTATTTTATTTCATTTATATGCACCTTATAACGTATATATGATTTTATGTTCCCTCAAGGTCTTTTTATGAAGTTGTGTGGGTTTTTGTTCCAAAAAACTTTTTACAAGACCATTTTCTAACTTCACTTTATCCCTTACAATTAAACAAGCTGTTTTTTGTTATCGTGACTTTAAGACTGATATATGTAAATAAGCTCTAATTAGCAGCCCTGTATTGTGCCTCATTCAGAAAGCAGTTTGCTTAGTATATAGTATTTATCTATTTTATTTTATGCATTATTTATTTCTTACAAAATAATAAATATTATTATTTTTCTTAGCATTTATTAAACTTCTTTCCTAATCAAAATGAATAAAATATCAAGGTGGCCCCCAAGTAGTATGTCGCTTAGGGGCCCCAAATATTCAGGAACTGTTAGCGTTGGAGATTTATGCAATGGTAAGGAGGGACTTACAGAAATATCGATATAGCATATACTTGTCAAGATGTCTCAATGCTATAGGTGCGAGTTGTTCAAGGTAAAGAACCTCCCCACTTCATGAGTATTTTTGGAGAAAAGCCAATGGTGGTGTACAAGGGTGGGACTTCCAGACAAGGTGGCCAGACAGAGCCTGCAGAGATCCGCCTCTTCCAAGTGCGGTCCAACACTGCTGGACACACACGAGCCATTGAGGTAAATGGTTATGTAGATTGAAGCATTTCAGGGACTGTATTTTGTATTTTCATACATATTGCATTTATCCTGGAAAGCTTTTTCATTCTTTTCCACTCCCAATAAAGGTTGATGCAGTGGCCTCCAACCTCAATTCCAATGATGCCTTCATCATGGTGAACCCATCAGGCTCAGTGCTGTGGGTGGGTCAAGGCACCAGTGATACTGAGAAGCATGGAGCTAAATACCTGAGTGAAATCTTAGGGTTGGAGCTTTTTGAAGTGGCAGAGGGTGAAGAGGGAGGTATGGTGACAGTCTAAACCTAAAGGGACACTCCTTCCAAAATTAAAAATTTAATCCTGGCTGCATCTGTTGTGAACATGCATACTTGAGTGAGATTTTCTGATTAAAGTACTAGGAAATCCTCTTTCTGATAAAGTGCCTTGAAGGTGGGAGAAACCGCAACTGCTTTTGCCCCCTCTTGCCCTTCTTCTTTTCACCATTAAGCTCTTGATGCCAGAGCTCTAAGGGCTAAACATTGAGTCAGAAATCTTACAGAAAGCATAAAATTTGATTCAGATCTGAATTTCAGCAGCCATGTAAAACGAACGAAAACAGCCCTTTACTATTTTCAGAGTTTAAAAATTTCATGTCACAACAGGACTTAAAAACTAATTCATGCATTTATTTCCAGCAGGCTGGACTACTGTAATGGCCTCTTTACTGACCTTCACAATGCAGCTGCTAGAATGCTTACGAGAACTTTGAGATCTTAGCACATTAGTAAAATCCTTAAGTCACTGGCTACCAATTAAGTACAGAAGTGACCTTACGCTGCTTCTAATTGTATATAAATTGCTAAATGGCCTTGGACCAAAATACATTATTGATCAGCTGGAAGTATGTGAACCCAGTAGGCCTCTCTAATCACTCGTGGCCAGTCAGTTAGTAGAACCCAGAATCAGAACCAAATATGCCGAGGCAGCATTCAGTCACTATGCTGCCAACTGCTGGAACAAACTTCCAGATGAGATCAAATACACTTTAAATGCAGCCATTGAAAACGTTTTTTGCCTTTCGCTTTATCGTGATCATTTTAATTTCTTTTAAGCCCTTATTTTAGTTGCTATTTATTGTCTTTCATTTTTAGCTCTTAAAGTGCAATTTAAGTTTTTAACTTGATTTTATTGTGTTTTATAATTCTCTTTTATTTGAGCTATGTACATTCTTTTAATGAACTATCTTTGCAAAAGCCTTTCTGAGGTGTTAGATCTCAGGATATGATAGGCTCCCTTATTTTTGCTGCACTTTATCTTAGCACTTAAGTTCTTTTAATCCCTTATTTTATTTGCTATTTCATTATCTTTCATCTTTTAGCTAAGGCTGCTATTCAACTAGTTAAAGTGGTAACTTTTGGTGCTGTTCCCCACTGAGCAAACTGGAAATGACTGGAGTATGATTGCAGTAGCATTTCTTAATTCGTATGCACTTATGTCTTTGTAATAATCCTTGCAAAAGCCATTCTGAGGTGCTATTATTTTCTATTTGTGTTGAATTGCCACTGTGTATAAAACCTGCTATACAAATAAACAGGCCTTTCCTTGGCTTGCCAAGTGAATGCAGAAGGAAGGCAGATGCTAATGTCACTCCTAGGACACAGTATATCTTAGTGCAGCCAAATAATGGTCTTCAAATCATCATTATAATGGACAGAATAAATTACTGAAGTGATGTAAAAGAATTGAGACAGGGAGAACAAGAAGATACAAGCTAAAATTGGCAAGCTAGATACCTGGCTATCCAGGTAAGTTACCTTAGTTGCTTTTTTCCCTGTGGCTGAAATGGGGCAGGGACTCTGGAATCAATTTTGTGCTGAATAAAGACAGAATCACTATTTTCTTGCTCAACCACCACTAAAGCTAGCTTGTTTGCATTTATTAGCCTATAGATCAGTGCCTCTGCCAGCAGTCAAAACTGTTTAACACCATTGCGGTTTACAATGGTTGTAAGATGTGTTTGTATAATGCATGCTGGGTACTGTAGAGAGAGAACACTAAATTAAAAATAACCAATGAGGCTGAGCAAAAGAATTCTGCGCTACAGCATACCTTATACTGTGACAACAAATCCTAATATTAAACTAGTTTTAGGCCTGAAATGCCTCATTAGGTGATACCATAGCCATTTCTATGTGTCTATTCCTAATCACTCTTTTTAAACTGTAGAATAAAGTGGTTATTGTACAGGTGACATGCCTTTAAACTCAGTGTTTTTTTTTTTTTTGTTTAGAGAACTTCTGGGAAGCACTTGGGGGGAAAATGGAGTATCGCACCTCAGAAAGACTGAAGAGCAAAATGGACTTGCATCCTCCTCGCCTGTTTGCTTGCTCTAACAAAACGGGACAGTTCCGTGTAAGTTTTTCTATGTTCTCAACCAGCATGTGCCTATTAACCCCATTAAATCTAAAGCAAATACTTCCATCACAAATGACGGATAATTCAAAAGAAATGCCTCCCGACATGTCTCCTCACATCAGATAGAGGAGGTACCAGGGGAGATGACTCAAGAGGATCTGGCTCCTGATGATGTCATGATTCTGGACACATGGGATCAGGTAAAGTCTGAGGAGCTTCATGATCAAAACTTGTTTGCTTGTTTACACTATACAGTCCATATACACTGTGTGTAGGTGTATATGTATGTATGCATGCGTATGTATAATGTATGTGTGTGTGTGTGTGCGTGTGCGCGTGCATTTGCTTCCAAGGTCTTTGTTTGGATTGGAAAGCAAGCCAATGAAGAAGAGAAGACTGAGGCAATGACATCAGGTACAAAAAGAACTAAAATTAGTGTTGATTTCATAAAAGTCTTTTTTGAATAATTCAGCTTGCATGCAGTTATGTCATGAACAGTGAAGAACATACTTTCGTACCTTGCGACCATGTTCATTCATAGCTTAGTGCTCTTTCCTGTAGTTCCCAATCCTCAAGCTGTTCATTGTCTCCTCAGCTGCTCGATACATTGAAACGCACCCTGCCATCAGGGACAAACGGATTCCTATTGTGAAGATAATACAGGGCTTCGAGCCTCCCACATTCACTGGATGGTTCCTAGGATGGGACTATGACTACTGGAGCTGTGGTCCACTGGAACGAGCTATGGCTGCACTGCAGCACTGAATCAACCTTCGCAGTGGGAGCACCAGTTAGTCTGATTCAGTATAACTCATCAGATATACTGTCTCAAACAACAGTGTACTACTCCAGTTTTGTGGGTTGTTTCATGTAGTTATGTACTACGGTTAATAGGAATAAAATGCTGTATATTGTTATAACGATATGTGATCAGAATGCCAACCACTGGCACTATTCAGTATGAAGCCACAAAACATAGCACTGCAAGAGATGTCGCTCTTAAACTTCTGAAAACTTCTTGTATGTGGGTGTTGACAAATATGCATTAGACTGAACCACACCAATAAAGCAATTTCTTATAATCTATCATGTCAAAAGTCTCAAGAATTAAATGCATGTTTTAGTACAATAACTCAACTTACAATAAAATATAGATTTAAGTAATGAGACTAATTTTCTATTCACTAAAACTTTTAATCAAGTAATTGGCCTTGAGTTCACCACTTGAGGCATTGGATAATAATTTCACTAGAACTTACTGATGTTATACAGCTTCCTCTGTAAGAAAACCACATACACAAACAAACTGTCTAAACCTCTGGGTCGCAGGGGGGCAAAAAGCAGGAAACACCCTGAACAGCTCACCAGTCTGTAAGAAAACTATGATCTAATTTTTTCAGCGTTAAAAGGCAAGAATATCCACAGAAATGAGGCACAATCCTTGATGTTTCACATAAAAGTATATGTAGGGCAGATGGTTACACAAGAGATGTTTACAAAAATAGTACAGTAAAAAAATGACTGTGTCTCTTTCAATTAGAATGTAAACAAAAGTGACCATTTGGTCATAACAACCCTGTTTCATAGTGCAAATAATCCTGAGGCGACTCCTGAAAAAGGCTCTTTTTTAAAAAAAAAAAAAATCCGTCAAATCCTTTATCCTTTGTGTGTTCTCTTTTTTTTTGAAAGGTGACAGTCGTTTCTATTCATGTCAGTACACTTGCTGTTCTGTCAATGCTCCTTTTATCCCTCTGTATTGATATCAACTATGTACTGGATGATGTCCTCATCGTCATCATCATCATCATCCTCATTAATGTCCGGGAAGATTTCAGAGAGAAGGAAGGTCTCTTTTTGGTTTTCATTGAGCCGCGTCTCACCACCATGGTGCTCCAGTTCCTTTTCAAGGTGTGGCAGGACATTCTCATACAGAAAATCGATTGTATCTAGTAAAAACAAAACAGAATATATGAAGCCCAACATGAAATGTTTCCAGTGCTGAAAACGTTCATTTTCTCTAACTTTCCATGGCTTTTCTTGGTACCATTTCAGCACAAAACACTGTTTTAATCTTAATTAATTTAAGAAAGCCTACTCGGCAATGTAAACAGTGCTTGCAACTTTAATTACAATGCTTTTCTAAAGTAATAATGGTCTTACCTCCAAAAGACTTGTTTTGCCAGTTTGGCACATGACAGACTTTCAGTTTGTGCCATTTTCTTTGCACATACGATGGAGGAACATCCCTGTAGAGGAAGAAAATAAGAAACGACATTCCAGATAACACATGTGGACAGAAATAGCCATTAGAATTTTACACTTGACATGGACACTGATTTGATTATCTATCAAAAAATATGTCCTGAAACGGTGGGTATGCAATGTTCATACAAAAAAACTTCAAGATGTAAAACTGATGGGGAAACGATTAAAAACCTTAAGGATAACAACCTCTTTTCAAAGAGCTGTCAGATGTTATGATTAATACTACCCTGTCAACATAAACACACAAGTTTGGCTACCTACTCTAAATACTAAGAAAGCCTGATTTAAAAAAAAAAAAATTCCAAAGAAAAGTTGCTGAAGCTCACAACCTCCATTAGTCAGGGCATGTTGGAAGAAATTCAGCACTGTTGCTACCTTGACTATTTTACCTACTACAAACTTTCTCAGAACTGTAAATAAATTGTTCAACATCACATGTCATGCATAGCCATATATAGTTTTATGTTATTCAATGTGGGTGGCAAGAGCATCACATGAAAATAGTTGCTCCTCTATGATCATGCTTACCCAATCACTGTTGTCAGGTCATCCCAGTTGACATAGGCAACATCATCTACTTGCATTTCATACATCCTACAGCGCAAAGGACATATTTTAGCAAACAATACAACACAGCTTCAAAGTTAAGTAGACATCCCAAACAAATGCAAAGAGTGTGGATCTTGTTCTGCACAGCTCCACCCTCCAGTTTGGCTTTGTTAGTACAGCGAGGTAAATTGGATTTATTTCTCAATTCAGATTTTTAGTGTTCAGATTGCAAGATACAAATGACCACTTTGGTTGCCCGTATGGCCACATTGTCACAGTAGCAACACATGCATGCAGGCAAGAGTACACCTGGCAGATATTCCACGGAGTGAGCTTATAAAAGCTGCACATATTTAAATTAGCCAAACAGTTCACTCCAGACTAATCAGGTTCCACTAACACAAGGAGAGATATGCTCCTGCTAATTTACAGATGTTTAGTGTTTTATGCAAGTAAATAATACTTATAATAATACAAATAATACATACTTTGTACTTAAACATAATGCTTAAACTTTAGTCTAAAACGCTATAGAAAAATTACTGATTAAAATAGAGAACTAATTAAAAATTATTTAAAGATTTAATAATTTAAAGTAGCAATATTTATTAGACTAACTTTTATCCATTACTCCACTGAAATGATGTTAGAAGCAGCATGTATAAAATACACATGGCAGCAGGTGAAGGTGAAACATAAAGAGAACTCCAAACTGTTAAGTGTAAATGTAGATAATCTTTATATATATAGAAACCAAATGAATATTACATCACATATTACATCTAACCAAAATGAAGGCTCCTGTTAATGTCTCTGGTTGGGTGTGGCTCCCTCAATGGACCCGATTCCAGAAAAAAAGCAGCACTAGATTATAAATGGAGCTGCCCCATCATTTCAGAAACACACAGAAATTTTCAGAGATAATTCCCCCAGTGAAAGAAAAACATCTTCCAGTATTGGGAAATGTCCTGACTCTACTGATCCTCTTGGGGATGCACATTCAGAATTTGTAAATGATATTACTATGAAAAACCTGTACGATTGTGACAATGTTCCCCAGAAAGCCTGCAATGTTCAGTGGTACTAATTATCCTCTGATAATGCAGGACCATCCAGGATCAGCAAGGATCAGCAAGTGGAAGCACATACTCACATGACTTCAAAAAATTTGCTACAAAAAAACAAAGTGTAACTGCAAATGAGAAAGTTGGAGTGGAGCTGGAATTTAAGAAACAAAATGAAAATGAATATGCTCATTACATATAAAATTGAACTGAGGCTTTATTCCTGTCACAGACTCACTAATCACTTTTCTTTTCTGCTTTATTAAAAGATCTTTACATCATTCAGCCTACAGTGTTACCGTTCACACTATGTAAAATGCACAGGCTCTCTGTGGTGTAATTAAGAGATGCTGCAGTTGGTTGAATCTTGACTTTAGGTGCAGACTTTGAATAGGGTGTATGCAGAAAAAACACTGCTAACTCCTCAGAGTAGGCTAGAAAATACAAACTCACGAGTAAACATTAGTTACACTTGCAAAGGCAATCGTAACTTTGGGGCTAATTTTGGGGTAGCTGTAATATCTCTACCCTGCATAAACAGGGTAATCTGAACAGGCTGAAAACAGACTTGATTTAAATCACCTTCATGCAGTTAAATACCTAAACCTTCTCCATATTAGTTTATTAATCCATACCCGTTTATATTTGACTTTTTAATTGAATGTCGTTTTTAAAAAAGTAATTATATCTCTAATGTCAAATCTTATTAGGCCCCACAGTATATTCGTAATAGAGTATGCTCTGTATGCAGAGCAGGTCTGTCCAAAAGCATATCTTGTCATGGTAACTGAGTGAGGCTTAATATTAGCTTCTTTCGTGGAACCAAAATTGAAAACTAACCGGGCTTACTGAAACAAGCCAGGCTTACTGAGTTAGCACACTTTCGTGGAATACTGCCAGGTTCTAACATCAAGAAGCTCTGCACTCCAAATGATAAAAAAAATAGTCCGAGATCTGATCTGAATTGATTTTAAAACCATGAACAAATATGACTTGAATCTAACTGGAACATGTATTATGTATAAATATGCATGAAATCTTTCATGCACACAGCGAATATGTAAACTGTTTTGCAAAGGGGTAGAAACTGTCAATTCTTCTCAATAAGAACCAATAAAAGGTGCAAAAAAAGAGAAAACCTTAAGTTGTGTAGGCAATAGGATTCACACACAGGCACTTACGCTTTTATAAGCTTTACTTTGACTTCGTCAGAGTTCTCCCCTGCGTTCACTGCTCCAGACGACATTTTCACAGCCAAAACTGACATCCTTAAAATCGCAAAAGAACAAAAAAAAACACGATTGTACAGCAAAGAATGACAGGCAAAAAATACTTTTGTATTAAAAATGTATTTTAAAATGTTCCAAAAAAGTTCCCTTACCACTTCTCTCTGCACTTGGTCCAAGAGCGGGTTTCCACCTTTGCAGCAATTTTCTGCCAGGGAAGTCTCTTGTACAACATCTCCCTGCTGACTATGAATGAGTCTTCATTTGTAGCTCCAAGCTGGAGTTGGTTGACTATATGATCTCGCACAGCTCGCAAAAGCCTTCGTATTTCCTTGGGGGACCATCTGCCTTCCTTAACAGCTAAGTGACAAAAAGCATATTAGGACCACAATGTAAACAATTATGGCCAAGATAATGCACAAGAAACTTCACTTACCAATCTGGGAGTATCGTTTCTCAAGTGAGATGGCACTTCGACCAGTCAACTCTGAAATCCTCTTCCAATTATTACCATACATTGTGTGCAATTTGCACAACGTGTGAATTTCTTCCTCTGAAAATCTTGGAAAATAAAATGAAGGGAAAAAAAATCTATTTAAAGAAAAAATATTTGGAAACACTTGGTTATGTCTGCTGCACCTCAAATTTGTCTCTTACTTTCCCTTGTGATTGCTGCTATCAAAGACTCTTCGCCCACGAGCATAAACATCATGACAGGACCTGGGAATTCCCTCTGCTGTTATGACAAACATTACACAAATTAGACAGTGGACAGCTATAGTTATAAAATAGTTATAAAAAAAATAATTATATAAAAAAAGGTAAAAAAAAAGCAGTAGACATCAATAAAGGTTTATATTTTTGTTGTAGCCACTAATACTCCGCATAAAAGTGACTCAAATGCACAAAACATCCATGTATAGTGCAAAAAGGTGACCGTACTGAACAAAATCTACTGGCATCTAAGTGACCCCTCAAAGCTCCAATAACTAATTATTGTGTAAGTCTGGGACTATTCAAAACTATATCATGTTCTTTATCACGTTCTTGAGTCACTTCAACGTGAGTAAATTCATGCTGTCCGATTTAGGTTGTGCACCACTGTAAACTACTTCAGGTGCAAAATAAAATGCACACACTTACCAATCCTTTCAAAGAATTTATGCACCCTTTTAAGCTTCTTTATGTTCTCCTGCTCTTCTTTGAAGTAATGAGTAAAAAAGAGCTTGGTGGCACTATCTATTCCAGTGAGGGCCATGAAGTTTTCAACGTTCTTCCGTAACGTCTCATTTTCTTCCACTGTGAACCTTCCACGATTCAGGGGGAAACCTGGAAACAAAGATCAAGTGAAGCCTCTGGTGTAGTTCTTTTGTCTGCAGTCAGAAATACAGTTGTATGCAAAAGTTTGGGCACTCCCCTCAAATGATACCTTTTGCTGGTTTTTGAAATGAAAAGAAGTGAACACAAAAGTCAACATCTCAAGTATGTAAAACAACATTAAGTTAAGCCAGTGGCATTTTGGAAACTAATGGTTTTTCATATTGCTTGTGTTAATGTTTTGCTATCCGGTGTCGACCAGAGGAGGATGGGCTCCCCTTTTGAGTCTTGGTTCCTCTCAAGGCTTCTTCCTCTTGCTCTTAGAGAGTTTTTCCTTGACAATGTCGCCATTGGCGATGCTCATGAGGGCTTGGACCTGGATTTTTCTGTAAAGCTGCTTTGTGACAATGCCTGTCGTAAAAAGCGCTATATAAGTAAACTTTGACTTGACTTGCTATGAACTGATGAAGTAAAAATGGAATTTTTCAGCCACAATCACAAAAAACATACGTCACAATCCTCTGACTTGAACATCATTGTAAATCTGTGGCTACATCTTAAACATGCTGTGCATGCAAGATGGCCCAAAAATACTGCAGAACTAGAAGCGATTTGCATGCAACAGTAGAAGAAAATATCTGAAAGAAGAATAGAAAAAGTAGAGAGTTCAAATGTTTGCACATCATAAATAAAATTGTTTTTTTTTCCCATTTTTTTAGTTAATCAAATATGTAAATGCATGTAGTTTATTTGCAGTTTTTTCTAAATAGGTTCCTGCAGAGGTTGTGTTTACTTCTTTTCACTTCAAAAATCAACAAAACAGGTGACTGGTCTAGGGGTGCCCAAACACTGGCATACAACTCTAAGTGTCTAAGGATGTCCTCCAAATAAGCAACTAAAACACATCTTGCATTAGCATACACATTCAGAAATAAAAAACGTTCAGCTTACCCTCTTTCTTGAATTCCTTATATCTCGGCAGGTCATAATTAATCATTTTATTTATATCATTCAAACTTCGTGACTCTACATTTGGAACAAATTCTTTGAGTTCCTCCAAAAGATGTCGATCAATCATTTTTTCATCTCCTTTACTATATTTCTTCTTTGTAAATGCGGTGCCAGTTTGTCTCATCGGACTTGCTGGCTCTTTGTAAACTTCATCAGTCTCAATCGGAGCTGTGTGTGTGTGTATTGACTCCACATCCTTGAGCTGTTCTGCCAAAATACTGGAGTCCTTGCGTTTCACTTTATTTTTCTTTTTCTTAACATGTTCTTCACGTTTCCCATTGTTTTTTGTCTCACTTTCCTCCCACTCCATCGTTACGCTCACTTCTTGTGTGTCATGTGGGTCTACGGAACTACTCCTCCTTGAAGACTTTTTCTTCTTTTTCCTTGAAGTCTCTGAGGCATCTTTTGTGGATACTTCACATGTAATATTCACTTCTGTCTGTTCTAGCTGCTGTTTTTTTTTCTTTCTTGGAGACGCTTCATGAGGTGATGTTTCACCTAATGAGCCATCTGCACCCTTCAAGTCCTTCTCATCTTTTAACTGTTTCCTCTTTTTCAGATTTCCATTTTCCTGGTGTCCCTTGGCCTGCAATTGAGAACATTCATTCTCACCTTTCTTTTGCATCTTTTTAGCCTTTTTTGAACTGCCAGTCAGTGTCATAAGTCTTGCTGAATTTGGTAAGTTGCGAGTATCAGTGACTGTCGGCCATGCATCTTTGAGGGGACTTTCATGTGTACGGGTGGGACTCATCTCCAGGAAAGAATCATCGAATCCCTTAGAAGTGTTCTTTGTTTTTCCCATCTGTTCACCTTTTATAAGTCTGCATTTAGATTTCCTCTTCTGTTAAGGAAAGAAAGAGGCATTACATCCCCTACAAAAAAGAATTACAGCAAAAATACAAACAATTTATGTAATGCTATAATCCTTTGTACTATTTTCAATTCTACATAATATCCATGTAGCACTATCCTATAAATCTAGAATGTTTGTTTAGTAGAGATTTATATAGTATTAAGGGGAAACGAGAGAAAAACAATAGGTCTCATTCACCAAGAAAAGTTTTTTCTTCAATTTGTTCTTGAAAAAGGTCCTCAGAAAAAGTCTACATTAGATTCATGACGTGTTCTTGGACCACAGAATTGTTTGCACCTTTGTGCTCGAGTGTGTATAGATTCTGTTCTTACTTAAGAACAAATACCAACATACTGTCGAGCTAAATCATATCTATGCCTGAGATGCCGGAGTTTTGTGTGTACAGAGTGATGACACATAAATCTACACACAGTTTGGGGAAATAAACTAGAATATTAGTTAGTTTTGATTTTATGACACATAAAACCCACCTAGAATAAGAAGCCCCCTGACGAATACTGCCTTAAATACTCATTGACGTTTCACAGAATGAAAATAATTCTTAAGTAGCTAATATGCTAAAAGAGGGGTTCTGCCTCTGGTCTGTGTGGCCTTCTTATCCCGACAATCTAACTTTATATTTTCACTTTAAACGAAATAAAAAATATATCTTCACCTCCTCAAAAACAAATGTAGCTTACTGCTCTCTCCACCACATTACCATGGTGAGCTTCTTCCCTCAAGTTAACCTACACTTTAAAAAAAATCTTCAAGGGTTCTTTAATAAAGAGAATGATTCTATTTAGAACCAAGAGTTCTATATAGAACCATTGTATGCTTAAATGGTTCTGTGCATGGTGAGATGGTTCTTCAGATCGATAAAGAACGTGTTCTATATAGAACCAAAATAGGTATTATTCTATATCTATTCTTACAACGTCAAGCTTGAAGAACCCTTTTTGGTGCTATGTAGAAATGCTATATAGAACACATTCTTTATCAGTCTGAAGAACCATCTCACCATGCACAGAACCATTTAAGCATAAAGTGGTTCTATATAGAACTTTTGGTTCTAAATAGAGTCAATACCTTTACTAAGAACCCCTGAAGAACCATCTCTTATGAAAAACATCAATAGCACACCATAATAACACCGTAATAAGAAATTATTCCAAGAAAATAGAAACTGGGAGAGGTGAAGGGTTGTTATGCTCGTTAACTCACCTTGTCAATAATTAGGTTTAGCCCGCCAAACACCACGTGTTTCTTTTTCGGTCAAACTAAGCGTTCTAGCTAACATTAGCTACTTACATATCTACAGTTCCTTGCAGCAAAACAGTTGCAACATTTCGTATCACGCCTCGCAGTTGTGAGATTAAAGTGTAGTATGTTTTTACCTGCAGAAAGTCGCATGTTTCACAAACGTGCCTGCCTGGGTGAGTCGAATGTTTTGTTTCCTGTAATTTGACACGAGGCGCTCCTTTGCTGAAATGCGGCACTGGATCCGCGCTACTGCCACCTAGTGTACAGGAAGGTAAGCGACAGCAGCTAGAGATTCTCTAATACAGCGGTCACCAGTCCTCGTCTTGGAGGTCTTCCTTCCTGGACGTTTCACCTACATCCCACGTCTAACACACCACCTTCAAAGAATCAAAGAGGCATCTGAAGGCAATAATTAGACTGATCAGGTGGGGTCTATTAGGGTTGGAGCTGAAGACTGCATTGGTTACCACTGCTGTAATATAAGTGGCAATCCTTATTTCTGTAAGTTTTTTCTTTATTTTGTTTTATTTTATTTACCTAATTAATTGTTTTTATTTTACTTTTTTATTTATGTGGGGATTTATGCATTGTCTTTTCATTTCCATATTAATCTGTATGTTTAATTCTTCCAAGCTGTAATTGGAGCTGTACATTAGCCCTATGATTGTTTAATTATTATTTTTTTAAGTGGCAATCCTTTGCTGTTTGACATGGACCACTGTGGTCGTGTCCTTATTCTGTAGTGGGTGCCATGCTCTTATGGTCATATAAGAACTCCGGGTCCAAAAGGAATTTCTCTGTGAGAAGAACAAATGGAGTTTTCGAAAACTGCCTTTGTCGCATCCTGTGGTAATCAAAAATGTTCCAAAGCTGATACATTTTTCCTCTCAGTGGATCCTCTGAATTACGAGGTTGTTAAAGAGTCGAAATATGAAGGTTGCTATGTGTAAGCTGATGCTACTGTGCACAGAATTGACGTCATTAGACTGGCAGCCTCCTTAAACCATGCAAACCAGCACACTTTGCCAGTGTGGTAGTGTATTTCCATGTGCAGACTAAGGGCAGATGAAAAGAATTCAGGAAAAAAGAAACTGCTTTTCCTGTTCAGCAGTTATCTGTTCTTCATCTGAATCACAAAAGCACTTCCCCTCCTGTTCATATTAAGCTTAACATTACTTGCACCCAGGCTAATTCAGTACAGACTCAGCTTAACATTATTGCTTACACCCCTCAAATGATCCTAATTATTCTCTTAATGCTGGTAACATTTTCTCCAGCTTCTTGTAAGAATTCTTTCGTGCCACCTTAAATGGTGAGGCGCTTTAATAACTGCTGTGCCATTTAAGGTGGAACAGGAACATTTAAACTAGAAGCTGGCAACAGGGGCTAATCAACTTCATTGAGAAGTGAAAGGCTAGAAAAGGAGTTTAAAGGCTGCTCTGTTTCTGCTTGACAGATGGGTAACATTAACTTAATTTTGCTGTTTCACAGAACCAACAGGTCAGTGATTGCTAATCACAACTGCTGCACCATTTAAGGTGGAACAGGAAAATTTTAAAAGAGGACTTCAGCCTTTTCGTTTCTATCTTTGATAAGGAGATTTAGGCCATCAAAATATCCTACACGTTTATTTACCACAGGGTGTGATAGAGGTGGTTTTTCGAAAAGCCCATTCATTTTGGCCTTTGAGAAACTGAGCTTAGAACCGGAGTTCCTAATAAGGCAGACTACAGAATGATGCACATCTACGGTGGTCTACTAGAGCACAGGACCCCAGCACTTAAACTACAAAATACAAATATTTAAATTATACCCAGAGGCTGTAACTGTAGTTAACCTACATTTACTTAAAAGTGCTCTAGTAAAATGTTGATAGATTTGTTCTTTCCTATTTTCAAATGCTAATACTTTTACAGTAGCGTTATGAGATGTACTTTACACTCAGATACAGTCATGAATACTTTGTGGTTAATTCCTTTTTGTGTTTAATTCTGTATATCTATAGGAAACATTTGGATATATATTAATATGCAGTTGTAATTACTTCTCAATACTTAAGCATTTTAACTTGATATTTTGTACTTTCACTCAAGTTCTTTTACAGAACGTACTTTAACTTTTTTCTTTTCCCCTCTCTTTGTTGTCACATGTCCTCAAAGATGTGAAAGAGCGAAATAAGCTTAAAATAGGTTTTTCCTCCTCACGTAGGTTCTCAGGACTTTTTTATAGATAGTCTGTAAAGCCTGGATTAACACCATGTATATAAATATATTTCAGCAGGCTAATTAGCTGACTTATACTTTGGTGTATATCCACTTTTTTTCAAAGACAACAGATATCATCAGGTGTTAGGTCGAATGTCCAAGTTCTTTTTTTTCTTTTTGTTATCACATGCGATTTGATCAATCCACATCAATACATGAAAACCATTTTACGTTTAATGTCAAAGTGAGTTCACTAGATGGCGCTCTATTGTATCTGTTTGTGCAGTGGAGCCTTGTACTGATCGACCAAGCAACGGCCACGCCCACTGAAATCTGCATCATTTGTTAGACCGTCCGAAGTTACATTATTGTTGCACCTTTTGTATTTTATCTGTATGCTTAATGTTTTATGGGCTGACATGTTTTGCATTGATGTGGAAAGTTATGTAAGAAAAAAAACTGGACATGTAAATGGGCTATTTTTGTTGTTTTAATGTAACTTTCCGGAGCATAGAATGGATGTTAAAGTTATTTTTTTATTTTATTATGTACAGTATCCAACCATTATGGGAAATGTCAATTATGTAAGAAGGAATGGTTAGAATGTACGTCAAACTTTACACATTTCCTCCATGTGATCAAAGAAAATAAGAAAATTGCACTACTTTAAAAATAATATTAAAAACGAGAAGGAAATTTATGATAATTTATGATGTTTATAAAGATTGGGACCTATTTAACGTTTAACTATACCCTCTGGATGCCATATATTGTCGTATACCTATGTGTTATTTATAATAATGAAGGGGAAGTATATTACTATTATTATTATTATTATTATTATTATTATTATTATTATTATTGTTGTTGTTGTTGTTACTTTTTTATTTATGTTTTGAGTTTCATGCATAAAGTCACTCTGAAGGAATCAAACAATGCCAGTTCCTGGGTCTTGAGAAACTGTTTTCTGAGATGATTTAGTTTTCAATTCCACGTTAGATAAAGCAGTTAAATCCATGATTAAGAGAAGATGATTGTAAACCTGAGGAGAGAGAAAGATCCTCTTCTGTTTCAGCGAGGAAAAAGGTTAATGAAGGACAGCGTCACGTCTCCATGACAACGCACAACGAGAAGGGCCTCGCTAGTCGGGCTGTATGCTACAGGCCATTAAACCGATCGGTTTTACAGTGTTTTAATGAAAATCGAGCTCTGGATCAAGCAAAGGCAAACGCAGTCGGCTACTGAACTCGTTAATTTACAGAACTGTGCAGGTTATTGATCTGCCAGACCTCCTGTTTGTTGTTTGAAAGGTCGTCCAGGTAGGCTTCGGTTTCGCTCTGTTGATTTCGCCACATTCTCCTGTGAAATGCCTGCATAGACATGTGAATGCCTGCACGGTTACTAGCGCGCTCACAGAGACTTTGAACAATGTGTCATGTTTCATATTATCTCAAATTTCATTTGCAGGATTTGTTCATTAAAACTTGGAGATGGAAGGTGTTCATGTCGGAGTGGTCAGAGACTCAATGCTGAACAATCCTCTTTTAATAAGGGTAAGGATTTTGGGATAGCTTGGCTAGCTAGCTACATGCTACGTAGTCCCTAAGACGACATGGTGATTATTTTTTAATAAGCCGTGGCCACAAATTGATATAGTAAGACCTTTAGGACCTTTAGAAACCGTTAGGATTAAAACCTAATGGTTTTGCTTTCTTAAGGGAATTGGCTTAATGGTTTCCAACAGAGACCACTAGTTTCCTGAATAACGCCTTCAGATCCCATCAAATGCATTTAGAATCAGCCATTGGTCACCTGTTAAACCTTTAGGATCCTTTACACTGTGATATCAACTCATCAGAAAAGCCAAAACACTTTACAGAACCATTAGAAACCAACAAAAACAATGAATGGTTTTATGTTTTGTTTTATTTATTTATTTTTTTTTCAGCAAATCAATACGTTGAGGCCTTGTGTTATCAGAAACTTAACTTGTGGCCTCAATATATTAATTTGTGGCCACATCTTATTAAAAAATAATCACCGTTTCACCTTAGGGGCTCTGTAACATGGCACTTGCTCATATAAACAGAGCAAAGTTAAGCTGCAAGCAAAGACAACAGATATCATTTGGTACTAAAAAGCCTCCCTTTCATCATCATGAGTTTTGGTAATATTTCACTAGTGTATTTAAAGGGGAATTCCACAGATTTATGCCCAGTTCAATCACTGAGATGTAAGCAAATGATGTGAAATGGTGCATTGTTTACTGACACAATTCCTTTACAGTGGTGCTGATAGGAACCGGGGGTCATGTCTACAAAAACCATTGCAAAACAATGTCTCCAGCTTTAGGCAACATATTCATAACAATTTCATGTAATCTGTGAGGGAGCCTTTAGAGACATTAAATACTTTACCTGTCTGGTTACTATCACCACCACTGTGAACAGTTCTGTAGAATGATGCATTTCACATCAAACCACGCTGCATGACTTTCTTACAGTCTTAAGCATTGGTGGAAACTGGTGGACTTCCCCTTTAAGACAACCACCAGATGGCAGTATTTCTCCTCAACTCAGAGAAGGTGTTCATAGACATTCATAGTGTACAAATGTTCTGTTCTCAAGCTTATTGTTGTGCACAACCTACCATCTACTTATGTCTCAACTAAAACAATGTATCACTAACTATTCAGAATGACTGCTTCCTTTCATCCCTCTCCCTCTAATCCCTCTCTGTTCCCCACTGTCCTTGCTATCCCACTTCTTTATCCACTTTGTTAGGCCATCATGCTGAAGTCTGCATTCTGTGGCCACCTTGATCAGCATATCCTTCATCTAATTCTGCCTCATTTTAACTTCATCAACTCTTCCAGTGGAGCAGAAGGGAGGATGAAATGAGCCAACTCAATCCTCTACTTCTCCTTTTGTTATCCGCATTACTTAAACATAATGTCCTCACACAGCCGAGCCCTCCCACCCCTTTTCTCTCTTTTCACACTCATCCAATCATTCTGTCCATCCCTGGTGGGATAAGAAGCCAGCGTTAGACCTTTGCTTGCTTGCACCCCTCCCTCTGTCTCTTGCTGTTCTCCAGGGTTATTTGATATGCCCCTTCTGACTGATGCAGAAAATAGGATTACTGTATTTAAATGACTATGATAATGAACTGCGCGTATCTTGCTATGGTCCCACAAGATCAAGGATTTCTCGTTCGTTGCCATTGTGAGCCGTTTTAGCTACAGCTTTTTGGCCTTGCTCCGGAACAATGGTAGAGTCATCTGTGAGGATTTGGGCTTTTGTTGCCTTGGCGTTGCCTGATGTTACTCTGTTTCTCCTCTCTTGTGACTTGCTTTTTAGCTGTAATGCACAATATTCCCCCTCCAGCCCTCCAGCAATAAGCAAAGACTCTCTTTCCTTGTTCAACAATAAACCTGTGATGCTCTCGCTGCAGAGAGATGGGCCTACTGCTGCTAAAAACATGGAGCTTAGGAACAAAGTAGATCCTGTACTTAGCATAGCTGCTGTAGGTTTACTGGTATAGTGTAGAGGAGCAGTTCATCATCAGTGGAGTTTTGTCTGCTTTAGGCAGTTTTGATGTATGGCTGTCCCACTGGGAAAGGAGGCATATATCATAGTAATATACACCACTGCTAATGGTCCTCAGAGTGTACAAGAGATGGATTGGACTAAGCTGTATGTAGTATGAAGTAAATATAGAGTCCAGAGCCTTCGTTTTGTCTTTAAGAAAGTGCATTGTACTGGCACTGCAGTCTTAAAAGTAAAGATGTCAAAGAAGAACCATGTTTGGCTTTTAATAGATGGTTCTTTAAAGAAGGTTTTTTTTGTAAATGAAGTGTGTGAGTGTGAAGAACCTTTTTAAAATCTTAAGAACCTCCACACATTCACAGAAAACAGGTCACTGGGGTGGTACCCTCAAGTGTACATCTTCCGTTCCTTTAGTTAGGGAACAAAATTGTGCTATAATCCATTGAAATTATATATTTTAAAGTTGTATTGACTCCAGACACCTTATCTTGTCTCCAGACTTTATTTTATTGTTCTGTTTTAAAACTTTAGATTATTAAAAAGTACAAATATGTACCGTTCACATGGGACAAACTTGTTTAGGGCACATTTACACTGTTTGTACCGTGATAATCAAAAATGTACCTGTATAGTACCTTTTTTTTCTGACAGTGCATAATGTAAAGGTTCTGTACAAATTAACTGTGTTAGCTAGAACCATAGATTCTAGCCAGTAAGCATTTAGGAACCTGTTTTTAAAAGTGAGTATGAAATGGGTTATAAGACCGAACAAGAAATTCAAAATGCTAAACAGCAAGCAAAAGGGAAAATTTCAGTCTCTTCTCTTCTCTTCTCTTCTCTTCTCTTCTCTTCTCTTCTCTTCTCTTCTCTTCTCTTCTCTTCTCTTCTCTTCTCTTCTCTTCTCTTCCACCGTTAATTCCCTTTTGATGAGGCATGGCCAATAAATCCCATTTTCATGCCTGTGTTCCCTGATGGCCAGTAAATGAGAGATCAGGGGGGAAGATTTGGGGCTTCTGTTGTTCTCAGCACCCTCAATGGGCCCTGCTGGGCAGCAGGCCGGCTGGGTCCCATTCAGATCCTCCTATTCATGCTCATTAGCGTTAGCTTAAGCACACTACGTACTGTAGCCTGTGTTAGACTTGGGGAAATCTCACATTCTACCATGTTGTGTTTATATCTATGCAGTCTGTAGCCTATTTTACGCTGCAATGATCAGAGCACAAATCCATCTGTACAAACTGATATACAAGCCTGCCAGGCCAAAAAAAGGCCAGAGAGCCTACTTATGCCCAATATGACATGATGTAACACCAGTAGGGAAGCTCTAGCTGGACATAATCAGGCAAAGCACCACCCAAATCTCTATTAAGGTCAGCTAAAGCATACATTAGATAAAGATACAGCACATAATAATGTAGTTAAGTCCATAGACGCACTAGCCTCATGTTTCCACCACAAGTAACAAGCCATTTCATCTTCCACACGGACACTGTAGCAAAGCAGAGGCTCATTATTAATGGGATCCAGCTGGGCCCACTGTAGGTACAAGCACAGCGACACAGATACATAAGCACAAAGCCCAATGCATAACCATAAACCGCTCCCTTAATAAATAACCTCATGTAAATGAGCTGTGTAAAGTGACCATTGCCCATGTGTAGTCAATCATAGCCAAGGCAGCGCAGAAGCAATGCGTCACATTACTTGCGAGACATAATGAGCGTGCACCTGATGAATCAATGTAATGAGGAAGTAATGAAGGGTAAGCACATCTATCATTGTGATTTACCAAGTTCCAGTGGTGGACGATATTCATGTAATTATACGTTTAGGTTTTGCATGAACTGATTCTAACTATGTCTGGGTTTAGAGAGACAATCATACAAATACTTGAAATACACAGACGTGCAATTTGAGACTTTTGTGTTTATCAGAATGCGTTAAACTGACCAAATCAGAATGGTTGCAAACATAAAGCTTGGCTAAACTTACAAGTAGATAACTCACATCCAGGCAGCGTGGAAGCAGCTCAGTTTACGGTTTCAGGTTTACAGTAGCAGTATATACAAACAGAACGGACAAAACGTTGATAATACTGGTAAAATCCTGTTGTGTTTGAGGTTTTTCTCATTTAACAACTTTCAAAAGCAGGTAGAGCTGCTAGTATTAGTCCCAGTAAGGGATGCTCTGTCTTTGGTAACACTCAAGCCAGAGACAGTTTAGTGAATTTGTTTTAAGTCACCCAGCACTACTACATCACCAAGAAGAGCACTAGAATGTGAAACAGAATGGCATGTTGATGTGTTGATTCCTATTTTTAGAATTATCTTTGTAAAAAGATTTTACTTTGTAAAAAGTTCACTACAGAGTGACATGAGCTTGTTTGGAAACTTAGACTTTTAGCAGTTTTGCTAGCCTCCACACGTGTGCAGAGCAGCACATTATATCATTCTAAATTTTAAGAGGTACACACTATCTGAGTATTTTGATATTCCATCACAAGAAAGTACTTTGCTTTAAGTATTTCCACCCAGAATTAAGTTTTTTGCTGTTGTGATCTGCTGATTTTACTTTTTTTTTAGCTTGCGTTTAGACAGATTACCCCAGAGTGAAACTTTTTATTGTATCTTAGTGTACCTTTTTATTTTTAATGTATGTTAATGTAACCCAATTTTTTTAAAGGGCCTGTATCACAGAAAACTGAATTTTCCTTTTTTTTAAAGAAAATACTTACACTTGACATAGTGTATAAACATTATGATTTAATTTAAGTTTCAAAATGTACCATTCACCCCCCTGCCCATACAGTCCATATATGGAAATTAAGCTGCAAAAAAACAGTGCCTTTTTAAATTTTTTAAATTTATGTCACAAAAATCAGCATGAAAAGCAGCCTATTTATACTAAAGTTATAAAGAGTGTTCCAGCCTACAATATATTTTGAGTAATGCATAGTGATGTAGCTTATAAGCCTATAGCTACACATAACTACATCGGTATGCATA